AGCACCACGGGAGAGGATGAGTAAGAGAGGTAGGGCTGCGCCAATAGAGGAAGAAACTCATGTCTTGGGCAGCCCCCAGACCTCATGTATTTATAGGGGGAGGGGAGGGGGCTGCGCCCCCTCTAGGGTTCCCTCCCCAGGGGTGGCAGCAGCCCCCAGATCCCATCTGGGTGGCGGCCAGAGGGGGAGAGAGGGGAGGCGCACCTGGGGTGGGCCTTAGGGTTTGTCCCCTCCCACTCTTCCCTGCGCCTTGGGCCCCTTGTGGGGGGCGCACCAGCCCACCTGGGGCTGGTCCCCTCCCACACTTGGCCCATGCAGCCCTCCGGGGTTGGTGGCCCCACTTGGTGGACCCCCGGGACCCTCCCGGTGGTCCCGGTACGTTACCGAAAAAACCCAAAACTTTCCGGTGACCAAAACAGGACTTCCCATATATAAATCTTTACCTCCGGACCATTATGGAACTCCTCGTGACGTCCGGGATCTCATTCGGGAATCCAAACAACATTCGGTAACCACATACAAACTTCCTTTATAACCCTAGCGTCATCGAACCTTAAGTGTGTAGACCCTACGGGTTCGGGAACCATGCAGACATGACCGAGACGTTCTCCGGTCAATAACCAACAGCGGGATCTGGATACCCATGTTGGCTCCCACATGTTCCACGATGATCTCATCCGATGAACCACAATGTCAAGGACTCAATCGATCCCGTATACAATTCCCTTTGTCTAGCGGTATTGTACTTGCCCGAGATTCGATCGTTGGTATACCGATACCTTGTTCAATCTCGTTACCGGCAAGTCTCTTTACTCGTTCCATAACACATCATCCCACGATCAACTCTTTGATCACATTGTGCACATTATGATGATGTCCTACCGAGTGGGCCCAGAGATACCTCTCCGTTTACAAGGAGTGAAAAAATCCAGTCTCGATTCGTGCCAACCCAACAAACACTTTCGGAGATACCTGTAGTGCACCTTTATAGCCACCCAGTTACGTTGTGACGTTTGGTACACCCAAAGCATTCCTACGGTATCCGGGAGTTGCACAATCTCATGGTCTAAGGAAATGATACTTGACATTAGAAAAGCTTTAGCATATGAACTACGATCTTTGTGCTAGGCTTAGGATTGGGTCTTGTCCATCACATCATTCTCCTAATGATGTGATCCCGTTATCAACGACATCCAATGTCCATGGTCAGGAAACCGTAACCATCTATTGATCAATGAGCTAGTCAACTAGAAGCTTACTAGGGACATGGTGTTGTCTATGTATCCACACATGTATCTGAGTTTCCTTTCAATACAATTATAGCATGGACAATAAACGATTATCATGAACACAGAAATATAATAATAATAACTAATTTATCATTGCCTCTAGGGCATATTTCCAACAGATTCATGATCTGGATGTCAAGGTGACAGAGGTTCAGACCACTGTTGAGAACCTGAAGCGTGAATTCGATGAAGCCAAAGCACCGCCGTCTAGTGATGATGAGGAACACCCAGGTGATGGCATTCCCACGACTACTCAGTTTCGGACTATGCCTAGATCAGCTGCAGTATCAGTCCCTTCTAGAGCTACAGTTTCAGCTCCAGTTGCTGCTGCATTGGTTGCTCCCTCAGTGCCTCCTACCGTCTCCACTCCTCCAGTCCAGCAGACTTCGTCCAATATATTTGCAGATGCACTTATCTCTACTCCAACATCGACGCACACCGCCGCTGCAAGTCAGAGGACTTCACCACTAGGAGCTTCCAGAGATCAAGCTTAGAGTGACGTTCAGCTCTATACTTATTTGAACTTTTTGGTACTTGTTGCCAAAGGGGGGAATAGTATAAATCATTAGGCTTCGAGAGAGTGCTTTGCCTTTTGTTCGTTTGGTTTTTCCTTGAGAGATTCTTGCTACTTTGAGTTAATTTTGCTTGATGCATGTATGACACTACTTTATTGTGTGCTTGATCATACAGTACTTTAATGCATTGCTTGCTTGAATATCCACTCATATGTTCTTTGTATGATCATTCACTTGTTTGTTTGGTGACGAGTGCTTACACTGTTGCGGTCATATCATTTGGAGCACTCCACCAAGATGTACGTGACATGGAAGAGTAACCCATAATCCTAATCGATTGTGCATTTACATTCAAAGGCAAATTTTTAATAATGCACAAATTTAGGGGGGAGCTCTTGTTTATCACATACTTCTCAAAACGACGATGTATTTCATTCATTATATCATTTGTCGAAGCTTTGATCTATATGTTGTCATCAATTACCAAAAAGAGGGAGATTCAAAGTGTAACTAATCCCCGGGTGGTTTTGATAATTAATAACAACATATATGTCATGGATCTAATGAGCATTGATGATAGATTTCAGAAAAGATCAATGATTGGCATGGCAAGGACTAATGGATTTGGACCCCTCAAAATGTCAAGGACAAGAACTGGCTAGTCCAAGACTCTACAATTTTGGTTTAGTGATCCAAGATCAGATCGAGTCCCTTAGGAAAGCCAATACTATTAAAAGGGGATGAGGTATTGTTGATGAGGTTGTTGCTCAAGTTCTTAGTGATATTGCTCCAAAACCCTCAATCACTTCCTCAAAACACATATGTCTAAAACCCTAAATCTTCATTTCGGTCCCACCAATATCACCTACTCCGGACCCACCAAGATGACCATTCCATTGCCATAGCCAAAACCCTAGCAATTTGGTTTGATCAAAAAAGGATCTCGATCCCACCGAGATGGCATTGCCAAGTTTCTGTGACGACATTGTTTCACTTTGGAATCACCGAGTTGAAACAATCAAAAATTCTGAGATTGAGTTCTACCCTAGCCATTGCACTTCGCTCGCACCGAGTTGTTCCACTTTGGTCCCACCGAAAAGCCAAATGTTCATATCTTTTGCACTAATCAGTCTCGCCGGTTTTACATTCGGTCTCACCGATTTGGGTCAAAAGTGTGTAACGTTTGGACTTTGGGTGAAGGCTATTTATACCCCTCCACCCCCACCTACTCTCTAAGAGAGCCATCAGAACAAAACACAACTTCCACCATTCATTTTCTAAGAGAGAACTACCTACTCATGTGTTGAGATCAAAAGATTTCATTCCTACCATTTGAACCTTGATTTCTCGCATCTTCAAGTTGCTTTCAACTCCAATCCTTCTCCTACCCAAGCCAAATCTATGAGAGTAGATTGAGTGTTGAGGAGACTATCATTTGAAGCACAATAGCAAGGAGTTCATCACCAACACAACATTTATTATCTTTTGGAGAGTGGTGTCTCCTAAATTGGTTAGGTGTCACTTGGGAGCCTCAAGATCATGTGGAGTTGAACCAAGGAGTTTGTAAGGGCAAAGAGATCACCTGCTTTGTGAAGATCTACCTGAGTGAGGCTAGTCCTTCGTGGACAGAAGGCATGATGGAATAGACAAGGTTGCTTTTTCGTGGACCCTTCGTGGGTGGAGCCCTCCATGGACTCGCGCAGTCGTTAGCCTTCGTGGGTTGAAGTCTCCATCAACGTGGACGTATGATAGCAGCACCTGTCGGAACCACGCCAAAAATCATCGTGCCTTCATTGCGTTTGAAATCTCCAATCCCTCATCTACATTCATATGCAAAGTCTTTACTTTCCGCTTCAAACTCTTAGACTTGTGTAGGGTGTATTTGACTTGGTAGAAGTACTAAAATTGGAAAAAAGATAAGTTTTATTTGGTCAAGTAGTCTAGTCACCCCCCCCCCTCCCCACACACACACCTCTAGACATACTTTAGATCCTACAAGGACGTATATCTACCATGGTCGTTCAATGCACATCCCTCCGTCTACCGCCATTAAACAGGCTCGCTAACCAACAAACCAGCTCCGGCGACCGCGCATTGACGCATCCGGACGCTTGGCCTCACCGGCCTCCACTATTTAACGGCAGGCACACCCGACTCATAGCACACCGCAACCCGTCCGCTTTGCATCTTCATACCGTGCATCACATCCACCATGACCGTGAGCGGGAACACTTTGTGGGAGAGCCTCTCGACGAAGCAAAAGCATGCCGGCCCGCTCTCTGGTGTCACAGCCTGTGTTAGTGCATGTCGAGTTGAGGATGAGGCAATCACAGGAGCACTTAAACGAGAGTAGCGCTACAATCTGTTCATCCTCGAGCGGCACCAGCGAGCGAGGAAGCCGTGGCGGCCATGGCCGCGGTCGTCGAGCAGCATGCGCTCTACGAGGCTGCCCACACTCAAGACGACCACACCTTCACTTCGTGGGTCTTATCCCCGCCATAGAATCATTTTATTTAACACTGCGTCGGCAAGGTCTTGAACTCAAGACCTGTTGGCTCAGATACCATATTGAATTCTTGCTCTAGCCAACTCATCCAAAAGTCCAAACTGATCCGGACCCTTTTAGAAAAATTAAAACTGGCTGAAATGTAATGAATGTGCTGCAGATGTAATTCATCCAAATCCGGTTTAGGGTTTGGGTACACAAGTACTGGCATTTGCCCCTCACCCCCTCTCTTCTTTTTTTTTGAGTTCCGTATGAGAACAAAATTAGAAGGACATCTAAAATGTCATAGAGCGGAGAACGGCCTAATGCACGTGCGTTACGCTTGACTAAGCAATCACTTGCAATATTGGCAGCACACAGGCAACGAGTAATTAGTTCTACTGCAGTGTTTAGAGTAGGGGGGCGAGTAGATATGCACCCAAACAAAGACGTAAAAACAGCACAGGAAAGAACTAGGGTAAACACATTTTAAGCCAAACAGAGTGCAGAACCATCAGCGTACAATGCAAACAATCTCAGAACTCGTAATATGCCAGCAGACGGTACGAAGCTTAGTTGGACACAAGTATAAGTTAACATCTTACATGAGACACCAATCACAACCAGCGAGCAGAATGTGTCCTTCAGTTTAGCACGTTGATAAAAAAACGCTAGGATACAGTCGAGTAGGGATTATTGAGTAGAAAGCCTTCAGTTGCTCTGAGCAGCTGTGCCAGCTTTGCCTTCCACCTCGGAGATTTCCGCAGCATCAGACTTCCCTGCGTCTTGAGGTTTCGACACTTCTCCTGATCAAGGACAACAGAAGATAGGGTATGAGGATGGTTTACAGTTTACAGGACTAAATTCAACATCGTAACAAGGATGAATACGGTACATCCATTGACCTAAAGGACATTTCCTCTTTCGACAAAGAAAATCGTTCAGATATTCATCATCGTACAATTTACACCCTCCATTTCAAAAAAATAAAGTGCCTTTAGTTTTTTGAGAAGTCAAACTTCTGTGTATGACCAGAAAGCAACATATCAATAATCATAATACCAAATCAGTATCATTAGATTCACCATGAAATACTTTTTCAAAGTTTATTTATTCGGTACAATATTTTATTTATTTGGTATGTATTGTTTATAATTTATATCTATACCAATATACAAATACCCAAACAGGCAGATCCAACTAATCTCGGCCATCAAACCAGGTCAATCTAATGATCTAGATTGCTCCAATGGTGAGCGCTCAACATGTTTGATCATACCAAATATCAATGTTAGTGCAAATAATATCCTACTCCCTCCATTCCTAAATATAAGTCTACTTAAAGATTTCAATGCAGACCACATACGGAGCAAAATGAGAGAATCTACATTCTAAAATATGTCTATATACATCCGTATGTAGTTCATATAGAAATCTCTAAAAATACTTATATTTAGGAACGGAGGCAGTACCAAATATCCGCATGCAATAAATACACTGCCTAATATCAGCATGCATTGCGCGTGCACATTTACTAGTTTTCTATGAACTTGACCAAGCATAAAATGTAACTTCTCAAAAAATTAATACACCTTATATTTTCACTAACACAGCTGCAGGACAGCAAGAGTTTGCTAACAATGGACAATTTGACTATCTCACCGTTGGTTAATCATAATAATTACAGTACACATTCATGAAATGCATTTCTTAACTAGTACATGACGCCAAACAAAATAAATTATTTGATTTTTTTTAAAGGCAGCCCAGTGCACGTAGCTCCCGCTTTCACAGGGTCCGGGGAAAGGTCTGACCACTTTGGGTCTATAGTACGCAGCCTTTCCATACATTTCTGCAAGAGGCTGTTTCCAGGACTCGAACTCGTGACCTCATGGTCATAAGGCAACAGCTTTACCGCTGCGCCCAGGCTCCCTTCAAAATAAATTATTTGGTTTCCATGATATAAATCCACAAAAAATATGTAGTTCTGGAGAAAAATAGAGTACATATTTTAGATGAAACAGTATTCTTTAATCCAAAATCTGAATTGTCTTGTCAAAGCCATTTCACTTTCTGTTGTGGATAAGGTATTAAACTATGTTGGGCATTCTATCAATATTTCATGAGTACACCAGGCATAACATATTTCCTTGACAATAACAGATCTAAGATATAACATATTATAATCAGAAACATGACTACCGTCCGAGAAAAAAACTGTACCATTTGAATGATCAGTTGCTCATTTAGTGCCAAGAAATGTACCAAGCAATTTCACATAAAAGAGCAAACAAGGCGATGATCAATTGACTTGTCGGGCAGGTTCAACTAAATATAACAACCACACCAATGAAAATGCCCTTAGCAACACAACCATCATTTGGATTTGGTGACGGAACATGTTTCTGATATTCTGTATCTAAAAACACATTAACCATAATGAGAAAATGATAACAGGCACAGGAATACCAACCTTCGTCGTCACTCTCATCCTCAAAATCATCCATCCCCATACCACCCAAACCTTCCATACCAGGCGGCATGCCCATACCACCCATACCGCCCATTCCACCCATCATACCAGCCAGACCACCCATACCACCCATGCCACCCAAACCTTCCATGCCGGGCATGCCACCCATGCCGCCCAAACCTTCCATGCCAGGCATACCGCCCATGCCACCCATATTCTACAGAATGTACATGAAGAAGCGCATCACACATCAAAGCATATAAATGAACCATCAAAGGGGAAAACGTTAATAGATATACTTACCGAAAAGTCCATCCCATCAACATTAACATCAGCACCTGAAAAAACGAATGATGATTTTCAAAACCTTTTGAAGGCAAAGTAATAATGCGTAACAGATTCAGCAGTAAATAGATACAATAGTTTGTTTTCTAGCCCATGTTAAAAAAAAGGTGCCTAGGCGGTAGGCATTAGCAAAACGCCTAGCTCTTAACGTGAGCATAATTGCTCTTAACCGTGTGCTTTGGTCAGAAAAACAAAAGGCAATGGCAAAACACAATTAACACCTAGCGCCTTTTTAAACCTTGTGTCTAGCTTAAATGAAGAAAATTTAAGTCGCAAAAGTTAGTTGTCTGCTAACAAGGTCTTCAGGTTTTCTAACATCTGAAGACAACGATAAATATCTTTCCTACTTAGAAGTAGGAGAGTGAAACAGTAAGATGAGAAGAAGCACCAAAATAGGTTTGTCGTACAAGTAAATTTGGATATGGTGTTTTTAGTTACATAAAGCAAGAGGGGATAACTACACCGCCATCCAATGTTACGCAGACCATGGTGCACACTTCCCTTATATTTAGGGCACTCCCTTTGTACCACTAAACTGTCCTGTTTCCAGAAGTTTTAAACTACACTCTTGGAACTAATAAGCAATAACATAAACAGTATAAACCCGTTTTCGTAGATAGCATACCATCATCATCTTCATCGACCCATTTGTCCCAATCAACTTTCACGAAGTGTGGTGCCTTCTGATCATCTGGAACAAGCTTATTCCACCATTTGGCGTCGGCTTTTTCCAAAATACAGAATATGGACCTGACACCAACACTTACTTTGCTTGCCTGTTAAAGACCAAAGTGATACTGGATAAGAAAACAAACCTTTTTTGACAATTGAGGAGTCAACAAATCTCAAAAAAACACTAATAGTGTACTATATATAGTATGGAACTATGGACATTGATTACCTCGACATTCACTTTGTCATTCAAATCCAGTTTTGATTCATAGGAGTTCCCATCAGTTCCAGCAGTGGCAAAGAAAGAGAATACACCATCAGGTTCCAGCTTGACCTTGGCATCCTTTGCGTCAGGCAATTGTACTGTGATATACACCTTGTCAATCCTTTGAGCCCACCTGACTTCAGGGTGCCGACTACAGAAACATTGCCACTTGTTAAGAAATGAACATCAATAGTGATATATATCTCTCCACAAAAAAACTAATTATAATAACATTTACAACTGCAACGCATACAAGGAATATTTCATATATTGGCGCAAATGAAGTATCACAACTAAATGAACAGAACACGTATGAAGTGCAGCATTGGGCAGTTCAGCCAGACACAAATAAAAAACAGAACACAACGACCCACTCCGATGACATCAACATACGTTCCTAACTTAATAGCATAACAATTTTTTGTAGCTTCAGCTATGAAAATATAACAATATGATGGATGGCAATGGCAAAGCAGGTCCATGCATTCAATCAGAGAGCATTAAAATATACTCCACTCAATGCATGCACAATACTTTTTTAATACAGCATTGAATATAAGGATTGCTAAATAAGCACTGCATATTCCCTACAACTCCAAAAAGAAGGCCTATAAACATTCTACCAAGTCAAACAGTGTAGTGTTTGACCAAGTTTGTAGGAAAAAGTAGAAGCAACTATAATACTAAAAGTATATAATATAAAAACATATTCTATTTTATAGTGAGCAGTGATACTAATTTCATAGTGTGCTTGTTCATAGTTTTTTCTACAAACTTGGTCAAACATTGAATCATTTGACTTGACAAGACATTTATGGGACTTACTTTTGGAGTTGGAGGGGTAGATACTTAACACTTACCAGTGACATTCTATTGTACTACTCCCTCCGTCCCAAAATTCTTGTCTTACATTTGTCTAGATACGGATGTACCTAATACTAAAACGTGACTTGATACATCCGTATTTAGACAAATCTAAGACAAGAATTTTGGGACGGAGGGAGTATATTAAAAGGTTACAAATGCCAAAGCATAAAATGATACAGTTTAAAAAGTGAACTTGTCATCATAACTCATTACCCCATTGCCATCATGCTGAAAATGCATGTAACTATCATCTACTCCCTCCGTCCGAAAAAGCTTGTCCCAAGCTTGTCCCTCAAATGGATGTATCTAGCACTAACTTGGTGCTAGATACATCCATTTGGTGGACACAAGCTTTTTCGGATGGAGGGAGTAACATATTCAAGACTTCTAAGATTATCAAATAATACCTGCCCTTAACAGTTTACATATCCCAGAAATAAAGTTAAAATATTAATCCATGTAAAGAGAACATAATGGCACCTGCATGCATAATATGACCTTCAATTATGAAATCCTTTTACCTATAAAGCAATATTTGCATACTTTACTTTACTTACGAAGCCTTTTATCCCAAACAAGTTGGGGTAGGCTAGATATGAAACCCTTTCACGAGGACTTCCCAGGAGGTCACCCATCCTAGTACTACTCTCGTCCAAATGGATTTCATACCCAAAAGACTGGCTAGTTTTTACGTTGGCTCGCCAAGCCTATCACAACCCTTAGATATGAAACCCTTTCATGAGGACTTCCCAGGAGGTCACCCATCCTAGTACTACTCTCGCTCAAATGGGTTTCATACCTATGGGACTGGCTAGTTTTTACGTTGGCTCGCGAAGCCTATCACAACCCTCCTCCTTTACCCGGGCTTGGGACCGGCTATGCCTAGAAGCAATATTTGCATGACAATGAAAAATTCAGAACTATCAACTAACAATAAACAACAGATTAAAACAAAATCCTGATACATGGTAAATAATTGGTCGAAAATTGCATAACATCAGGTTAGACAAAACTACTAGGGATGGCATGTCCATAGATGAGACAAAACGCCATTAAGCTCCGGCGTATAGAACCGCACTGCTGCATGCTACACATTACTTAATTATGTTATCCACAGTGGCCAGTAGGTGCTAAATTTTAAGCATTCCTTGCAGATCAGACAACGAGGTAACCAGCTCGAATTCAATCGGAAAGTGCTTGCAGAAACCCTAAGTAAAACCGAAATGTAACCAGAGCAGAATTCTTGGAATGTTGGAAGAAACATACTCCCACGAGATCTGAACAGACAACAAACAGAACAAAAAAAATCCAATATCCCACAAGATCGAGTTCTATCTCTATCAATGACAGCAGCAGAACCAAGTAAAGCCTAAGAAACAAAATACTCGCAATACAAACAGCACGCTCGCCAAGAACGACAGCAGAATACCAATTGAAATCTAGAAAAAAAATAACAATAAAATCGGAAGAGAGCAATTAACAAGTTAGCCGCGATGGGACCATGAACTGCCGTAACAACTATATCATCTAGACTCCACGTAGTAAATCAAAGCATACGAAGGAGAACGAAACAGCTCGAATTTTTCGCAACGTGTAAACAACGAGTGAGACAGACAAATCCGTAAATACCGAAACCTAGAGACGCATAACCCAACGGTACCCGGTCGAGCCCCATCTGAGCACAAAAATCTGACTGCTTAAGTGGACCAGCTAAACCGAGGGAAGCAACAAATCCTCGCGGGACCGCGAGACGAGGTATACCCCAGATCCAATCGCGCAGTTGGATGGTACAAAGTCGTACTTTGTATAGAATCTAAAGCCGAATTGGAACAGAAGAGAAGAGAGGAAACGCTAGATCGGATGGAGATGCTCAGGTTCCGCTCACCTCATCTTGCTAGGCACCGGCGGCGGCGGCGGCGGAGGCGGGGAGTGGGGAGAACGAGGGTTTTGAGAGGTTTTGGAATGGCAGGGTGCGAAGTGAGAAGAGATGGCGAACGAAAATAGGGTACGGCAGGTAATAAGGGTAAAGACGAGCAAATAGCAGGCCGGGTGTACCGATCTCGGAGACCGCTCGCGCGGACGTAGCCGGGCCGTGGCCCATTAACGCCTGGCTGGCTGGCTCGCTCGCTTAAGCACTCGTTCACTTTTATGGGAGCTCCTATACGGCGCTGCAGGCGCCCGTTCACGCTCCTGGCGCCTGCAGCGCCCCGCACTGGGCCGGCCCACGAAGACGTGCAGACCCGCGAACGGAAAAAGCTCGCAAAAAATAGGGGAAAAAGGTTGCGTTGCACGGGTTTCGATCTCCCGACATCGTGCTAACGAACAGGTGCCACAGGTGCCACCATCCACTCGAACTACTTGCCTTCCGTGATTAGTAACAGAGGCAAATGCCTAATAACAAATACGCAGCGCTATATATATTGAACTGAACCATTCATCTACTGTACCACTTAATTCTTTTGAATTATTTGGGAAAAGAGAAAAAGTTCACAAAACTAAAAATAGTTCATTGATTTTTAAAGTAAGTTCATCGATTTTGCAATAAAGTTCATTAAATTTGGGAAAAGAGAAAAAGTTCAGTGATTTTCGAAAAAAGTTCAGAAAACAAAAAAGTCCAGTGATTTTCGAAAAAAGTTTATCAAATTTCAAATAAAAGTTCATCAAACCAAAAAAAGTTCACTGATTTTAAAAAAAGTTCACTGAATTTGAAAAAAAGTTCAATGAATTTGAAAAAAAGTTCAACGAATTTTAAAAAAGTTCAACGATTTTGGAAAAAGTTCATCTATTTTTATAAAAGTTCAATGAATTTGAAAAAGTTCATGAATTTGGAAAAAACAGTTCATCAATTTTGAAAAAAAAGTTCATCGAATTTAAAAAATGTTCATGTAATCTAAAAAAGTTCATCGATTTTGCAAAATCGTTCATCGATTGTTTAAACACGAAATCCTTTTGAAAGTCACGCATTAAAAAAAGGAAAAAAGGAAAAACAGAATAAAACCGTCCGTAAACTAAACCGCAAACCGGGGAAGACCATTTTGGGAAGGTTCTGGAAGCTTCCCAAAACCGGGCATTCGTGAACCAGAAGAAACAAATAATAATGCGCGAGCGAATTTATTGTGCACACTAGGAGGGTGATGGCGCGGTGGTTAGAGCTCAAAGATGGTAACGAGCCTGGTGTGGCTTCGATTCCCAGTTCTATCACCTTTCTATCACCTTTTTAATGTTTCTGCAAAACAAGAAAGAATTAAGATGGGCCGGCCCGGCTTGGGCTGCTGCGGTGTGGCTTCGATTCCCAGTTCTATCACCTTTCTATCACCTTTTTAATGTTTCTGCAAAACAAGAAAGAATTAAGATGGGCCGGCCCGGCTTGGGCTGCTGCAGGCGCCCGTTTGCAAATTGCACTGTAACGGGCGCCTGCAGCGCCAAATAGGAAATCCCCACTTTTATGGCGTTCCCTATGAGAGCAACTAATTAACGAGCACTCTTTTGGAAGGCTCGCAACGATCAGCACCACTTGACGATTTGCCACGTGTCGCGCTCTAGACGCTTCCTCCGAATTTTGTTTTTTTAATTTTTCCGCACGGGTTTTCGGCTTTCTAAACGGTTTTCTCCTGGTTTTTTCGATGTTTTGATTTTCCACCGGTCTTTCCTAGCTTCTCGAAAAAAAATTGCGTAAAAAAACACGCTTTCTTTTTTTTCCTTTCACGAGAGTCACGGCTTTGTTTCTACGAGAGGCACGGTTGTGCTTTCGCGAGAGGCACGGTCGTGCCTCTTGGAAAACGGAAAAAAAAGCGTTTTCTGTTTTTCTTTTCTTTCGCGGGAGGCATGGTACAAAACGAATACCATGTGTGTTTTGGATCGACTGCTAGGGTTTCATGATTTCTACAATGTGCAGGGCGTGATACTTCTTTTGTGTGCTTTTATTTTTAGGTTTTGACTGAGCAAGGGGAGAAGTTTCGAGGTGTAAACAGCATTTTTTGGAGGTAATAGTCCATTAGAATGGTGGCTTTTGTGTTTTTAGTTTATGTGTATTGGTTCTGCCCTCACTAGTTATGCAACTCATTTGTGTCATTGAGAATGCTTGTTGATTTTAGATGGGTAAAAACAGATTTCTGTGTATTGTATTTTTCTGTCATTTTGTCATTGTTGTTTTCAGATGAAGATGATAGTGCTTCTGTACAATGTCTGAACTGAAAGTTCCCATGTTTGTCCAGTTATGCTTCACCATGTGTATCTTAGTTAAATTTTCGGTATCAACTAGCAGTATATTAGTTAAATATAATTGTTGCTTTAATGATTATGAGGTTAACGACTCCCCAATTCCACCGCAATTTAGATGTCGGCAAGCAGTCCTTCGTACTCCGCAGTGTTGTTGGTTGCTTCCTCCCTAAGGAAATGCATTTGAACCACGTACAGGTGTTCTACGGTGGGTGCGACTAGCAGAACTCTAGCACTGGCGCGTTGTAGCGAGAAGGCACCATCAAAGCACATGATCCAATCCTTCTTAGTTTCTCTGCCAGGGAGATTTGATTCTTGAATCTCGTCATCTTGCGTTGGCATCCAGCAATGAATTCCGCCAAGGCTCTGCTCTGAATAGTTGATGTACTGTCACATCCTAGTTAGCCATGCATTAGAGTGTTGCATCATGTTTACTCTTTCATCAGAAACTTGAAATGGGGATCTGTGAAACCCTCAGAATCATTTTGAAAATGACCCAAATAAAAATTTCTCCAAAAGGATCCAAGAAAATGCTCATGTTGCTCTCTGAAAATATTGGACAGAGATAAAAATCAAACCAATATTTTCAGTGGCTCATGGACATTTATTTTGGGCATTTGGAATTAATGCATAAATATTTGCATTGGAAATATATTAATTATATATATTAATATATGCCCAAATATTATGCCATTTATAAAAGAGCTCTGGAATAATATATATAGCTCCTGCAAAAATTGGCATAAGTTAAATAAATGATTTAATATATTTTTTAAATCAAAACAAATGTCAGAAATTAGAAAACAGAAAAATATATAACAGGAGGAGCTTACCTGGGCTCCTCCACTGTGCGGCCCAGCCAGCTGGCCGGCCCAGCCAGCAGCCGGCCCAGCCCACCACTGCAGCCCTCCGTCGTCTTCCTCCCCTCGCCCCGAAGCTGCTGCGTGCTCACGCGCGCACGGCCGCGCGGCCACCTCCTGCTTGCCGACGAGCTCCTGGCCGCGTGGACGACTCCCGCAGGCCGTCCCGATCCCCCCTGCTCTCTCTCACTCTCTCCCGGCTCTTCCCTCCTCTTCCTCGCTCTCTCTCTCACACGGCCGAGCACCACGTCGCCGCCATTCGCCGTAGCAGCCATCTCCGGCCACCCCTCGCTCCCCCGACTAGCTCAGAAGCTCCGCCACGACCCCCTCTTCCTCCCCACCGCTCCACAGCTCCCCGGAAGCCCTGCATCGCCGCCATGTCGCCGTTCCCCTCTTCGGGCTCCGACCATCGTCGTCGTCGAATTCATCGTCCCCGGCGCGTCCCCGAGCCCGCTTCGACGCCCACTGCAACCGCCGTGAGCTACGCCACCGTTTCCCCCTCTCCTCCCCCTCGTTCCCCCACCGTAGCCTCCTCCCCACCACGGCCGAACCTCCGCCATCGCCGAGCTCGCCGTCGACGCACTCCGGTGACCATTTGGTCACCCCGGCGAGTCCAACGAGTTCGCAAGACCCCGTAGAGCATCCCTAGCGCCTCGCTTCGCTCGACTTCGAGCTCCAACCCTGTTCCCGTGCACGACCGAACCCCGGCGGTCGCAGCCGAGCTCGCCGCCGTCGACTCCGGCCACCCCGACCCCAACGGACTCCGCCAAGAGCTGCGGTTTGTCCTCAGCTCCACTCCGGTGGTCTCCGCGGCCCCTTTGGTGGCCGAAATGGCCAAAACCACTCCCGCCGCCGCGTCTGGCTCGCCGGCGGCTAAACGCCGGCGTCGCTGGTTTTGACTTTGACCCCGGGTGGGCCCTGGTTGACTCCCCTGAGTCAATGACAGGTGGGGCCCAGCCCTGCTAATTACACAGGATTAGTTTTAATTAAATCTTAATTAAAATAATCACCCTGACATGCGGGACCCACTGTCAGGTTTGACCCAGACCTGTTCAGTTGACCACTGACGTCACACTGACGTCAGGCTGACGCAGTAATTAATTTCTGGATTTAATTTAAATCAGGAACTTCCAGAATATTATTTAAACTTCAAAAATTCATAACTTTTATTCTGTAACTCCAAATTGGACAAATTATATATGAAAAATGATCAGAAAAATCCAATCTATCCATCTGTACTATTTTCATGCATGATCAAACAAGTTAAATTGATGTTTTAAGCAGAACAAGGAAAAGCACTTTAAAAGGCCATGTTTGGAGTTTGAAATTTGAATCTTTGATTCAAATTTGTTCAAACCCTTCTGGTTTTAGTTGCATTAGCCCAACACACTCATATTGCCATGTTTCATGCATGCATCATATTGTTGCACATTGTTTGGTGACGCTTGTGTATCGATGTCCTTTGCGACAGGTTCTGCCTCCGAGGAGTACCGTGATTACCCTAACGAAGAACCATATCAGTGCATCGAACCATCAGGCAAGCAACCAACCATTTGATCATATCGATACAATCCCATGCTCTTGCTCCTGCTCTCTTTTACTGCATTAAGACAACGCGATTCAAACTGCTGTGTGCTACGGTAGTTGAACCCATTTCCTCTGCATGACCTGTCATTGCCACAGTAACTAGATGAAACCCACTAGCATGTGTAGGAGTTGATTGAGCCATATGTATGTGTTGTTCCTACCTTGCTATGCCTGCTATGCTTAGAGTCGTGTCAGGTCTGGTTCATCTGGGTGATGGGCTAGAGT